AACTTACCACAAGGTGGAAGTGTCGTCTTAGTTATTAAACTGACAGGCTGAGCCTCATTATCATGTGAAATAAAACAAATGGCATAACTGATAGGCTATTGATTTTATTAAGCAATTTCTCTGTATGAATACTGCACATGGACAATGGACATGGTGAAAAACAGCTGTCTAATGGAGTGTCTACAGAGTTTAAGTAGAGATAACAGAGACCTGAAGTCATCCTCAGCATTGGTGCTCTGAGACCCACTGTGACCAAATCACATTCAGTCCTCATGCAAAAACACTAGAGATGTCGGACTGCAACACCATAGACCTAAATGCAGACATGTCACCCCAATATTCGAGTTAAAAAAGTTAAATTAGAGTTAGGTTTAGGGCTAAAACAAACAAAAAAATGAGTTGAAAATATAGCCTATTGGACTAGACAGCTCCTTTATTACATTGTCATTTATGGAATACAAATGGGATACAGTTACTTTTAAATCCGATTATGTGTTTAAAGTTTGCCTTTGAAATAAGCCCAATAGCGATAGTACTGTTAAAAATAATATGATATAAGTGTAGGCTATACCCTGCAAGGCAATAAGGATAAAGCTATATGTAAATGACTCCTCCCAGGTTTTGTATTTAGCATTTGTAAGTGATGAAAGCAGAAACAAGACATAGACGTAAGCTCTAGTCTAGTGAATATCTCTTTTATTTAGCATATATTTAACACTGCAATGATGAAACTGTGCTATCTATTTTTTATGACATCATTTATCCTAGGTATGTATTTTGACTTTCTTCATTTTTTTAAATCATAAAGTTCACTTTGTACAATAATTTATGTTTGATTGAACAGGATGCACAGCACAGGACAATGTAATACAGTCCAAACCAGTTATGACAGCTTATGAAGATGGAACAGCCACTCTTGACTGCACTTACAAAGCTACCAGCACTCAATATCCAAATCTCCTCTGGTACCAACAGAAGACAAATAGATCCCCAAAATACATGCTGATCAGACTTTCTGGATCTAGCAGCAATAATGAGGAGTTCAAGGAGAGATTTAATGCAGATCTCAACACATCTTCAAAATCAGTTCCTCTGACAATCAAGGATGTGCGTGTGTCTGACTCTGCAGTGTATTACTGTGCTCTGCAGCCCACAGCGACAGAAACACACTCAACAATAAGACAATAACTCCTGTTACCTCTATTTCTAAAATCAGTCAACAAAAATACTTCCTATTTGGTGGATTGCAACATTTAAAAGTTACATTTAAATGAATCCATTTGGAAGAGTCACATGCAAATCAGAGTAGTATATTAAATCAAGGAGATGAAATTGCATTTAGGATATGAATTCCTTTTGGAAAATTATTTATATGCAACACTAACACATTTTATGATAATTTCAGTATTCATAAGGTTTGGAGCAAACACATCTAGAGACTGTGTTGTAATAACTGGCAGTACCAGAGAGAATACTTCACACAGCCAACTTTGAGGATGGGAGGAGTTACATGCGTTATCAAATACATTCAAAGAGACCAAACCAGCTGTGGATGGTGATTTCTACTAAGCTGTCCAAGTAGGGAAACCATGTCGCAATGGTTAAGGAATTTGTTTCTTGTTTTTGTACTTCATTTAGGTATGGTAATACAATTTTTACATATCCATGAGCATTTTTATAGAAGTCATCCTAGCTGATGCGTCACTTTTTTGTATTTAATTAATTTAATATGTTTACAGAATGTAGAGGGGAAGAAACAGTCAGCCAGCCAGAAAGACATCAGACTGAATTGGAAGGAAAATCAGTCACATTAAACTGTAAATACAGCAGTGCTTCAGCAGCTCCAGATCTCTTCTGGTACATCCAGAGAGCAAATGATATTCCTAAATACATCCTGAGAAGAGACAATTTTGGAACTGGAGAAACTGGCACTGAGTTTCAGGAGAGATTTCACTCTAAACTTTCATCAGATTCAGTTCCACTGACAGTCCAAGATGTACATGTGTCTGACTCTGCTGTGTACTACTGTGCTCTGAGGCCCACAGTGAGACAACTCAAGACAAACCACATACAAAAACACAGGAGCAGAAACACTGTGAAGTTATGTAATATGGTCAAATAAAGTCTATGCTGCTGATATTCTTGTTCTATAGTTATATCATAAACAATAAATTTAGATAAGCAATGATACATTGTTAAAGATTGTGTACAGTAATACTGTTTTGATATGAGCAATTAAATAACAGATGATTATGTTGCAAGAAATAATTGCAAGAAATACATGTTCAAATAACTTTATATTTATTTTTAAAGCTGACCACACATTTTGTGTGTGTGTGTGTGTTCATTTAGATTCTGAAAAGCCTGACTCATTTGAAATAATGAACGAGTATCTGGCGAACATGATTTTTTTAGAAGCATTCTACAGTATCTATTAAATGCAGTGGAAACTGAGACAATTTTAGAACTTTCTTCATTTGCAGGGTATAAATATAAAAATATTTGATGCATTAAACTGACAGTAAAGACTTTTAAATTCTAAAGAGTTAAAAAAATCTAATCTCAAATAAATGTCAAAGTTCTTTTCAAACTTTCTATTAATTAAAGAATCCCCAAAAAATGCATCATGGTTTTGACAAAAATATCAAGCAGTACAACCATTTTCAACACTGATAATAATAAGATTTTTTTAGAGCATCGAGCATCAAATCAGCATATTAGAATGATTTCTGAAGGATCATGTGACACTCAAGACTGTTTAAAAAAAAAAATATATTACCAACCTCAAACTTTTGAACAGTAGTGTATATTATGGAATCACTTAGATGCATTTAGAGCACACATAAAACATACAAATGTTTATTTACTATATGTATACCATAGACTAAATCACAATATAAAGGTTTGGAGCAAACACATCTAGAGACTGTGTTGTAATAACTGGCAGTACCAGAGAGAATACTTCACACAGCCAACTTTGAGGATGGGAGGAGTTACATGCGTTATCAAATACATTCAAAGAGACCAAACCAGCTGTGGATGGTGATTTCTACTAAGCTGTCCAAGTAGGGAAACCATGTCGCAATGGTTAAGGAATTTGTTTCTTGTTTTTGTACTTCATTTAGGTATGGTAATACAATTTTTACATATCCATGAGCATTTTTATAGAAGTCATCCTAGCTGATGCGTCACTTTTTTGTATTTAATTAATTTAATATGTTTACAGAATGTAGAGGGGAAGAAACAGTCAGCCAGCCAGAAAGACATCAGACTGAATTGGAAGGAAAATCAGTCACATTAAACTGTAAATACAGCAGTGCTTCAGCAGCTCCAGATCTCTTCTGGTACATCCAGAGAGCAAATGATATTCCTAAATACATCCTGAGAAGAGACAATTTTGGAACTGGAGAAACTGGCACTGAGTTTCAGGAGAGATTTCACTCTAAACTTTCATCAGATTCAGTTCCACTGACAGTCCAAGATGTACATGTGTCTGACTCTGCTGTGTACTACTGTGCTCTGAGGCCCACAGTGAGACAACTCAAGACAAACCACATACAAAAACACAGGAGCAGAAACACTGTGAAGTTATGTAATATGGTCAAATAAAGTCTATGCTGCTGATATTCTTGTTCTATAGTTATATCATAAACAATAAATTTAGATAAGCAATGATACATTGTTAAAGATTGTGTACAGTAATACTGTTTTGATATGAGCAATTAAATAACAGATGATTATGTTGCAAGAAATAATTGCAAGAAATACATGTTCAAATAACTTTATATTTATTTTTAAAGCTGACCACACATTTTGTGTGTGTGTGTGTGTTCATTTAGATTCTGAAAAGCCTGACTCATTTGAAATAATGAACGAGTATCTGGCGAACATGATTTTTTTAGAAGCATTCTACAGTATCTATTAAATGCAGTGGAAACTGAGACAATTTTAGAACTTTCTTCATTTGCAGGGTATAAATATAAAAATATTTGATGCATTAAACTGACAGTAAAGACTTTTAAATTCTAAAGAGTTAAAAAAATCTAATCTCAAATAAATGTCAAAGTTCTTTTCAAACTTTCTATTAATTAAAGAATCCCCAAAAAATGCATCATGGTTTTGACAAAAATATCAAGCAGTACAACCATTTTCAACACTGATAATAATAAGATTTTTTTAGAGCATCGAGCATCAAATCAGCATATTAGAATGATTTCTGAAGGATCATGTGACACTCAAGACTGTTTAAAAAAAAAAATATATTACCAACCTCAAACTTTTGAACAGTAGTGTATATTATGGAATCACTTAGATGCATTTAGAGCACACATAAAACATACAAATGTTTATTTACTATATGTATACCCATATAAAAATGGACTATCAATCCATTATCATGTGAGATTGTGTAGGTATAATGTGCCACAAGGTGGCAGTGTTCTCAGACATTCAATAAGGAATTACAATGAACAACTTTCGTCATATTTATACTATATTTTAATATTATAAGAATAGAGACTGAAAAGCACAGACATATTTTTTGTTGTTGTCTTTTTTCATATATCACACCAGTAAACATGCTATTAATGAAGGTACAAAGCTCACAGAGATCAGGAAGTTCCTGAATGTCTTGATTACTGAACAGCAGAAAGCTTCAGTAACGCACAGTCAGAGCACAGAGCACTGAGAGAATTAACACACAACTGATCTTTAAAAAAAAAAATATATTACCAACCTCAAACTTTTGAACAGTAGTGTATATTATGGAATCACTTAGATGCATTTAGAGCACACATAAAACATACAAATGTTTATTTATTATATGTATACCATAGACTAAATTACAATATAAAACACATGCTCTTGTTACCTAGGTGTGAATGATTCAACTCAGAGAGGAGGGACTAAGTGTTTACAGATCTGACATGATCTAATGTGTCTGACAGAGACTGTGGTTGAAAGGATTCAGGCTGACTCTTCTCAGAGTGAACACTTGTACAATGGATCTTCATTCAGTTATTCTGTTCTGTGCCTCAACTGGTGTGTATATCTATTGAGAGAAGGATTGATTTTTTAACTGATTATCTGAAATCTCTCTAAAATACTACCCACTTCTCTTCTGTTTCAGCTGTTGTCTTTGGAAACAACATCAGTCCAGATACAACAGATGTTGGTGCTGATGAAGGTCAAAAAGCTATTCTGTCCTGCAGTTATTCCTCCTCTGGGGTTACAGAAAATCTCTTCTGGTACCGTCAGTATGGAAGATCAAAACCTGAATTTCTCGTAGCCACATACAGTACTGCAAAAGAGAGTGAGATATCTGGTGTAGATTCAAGATTTTCTGTTAAAGTAACAAAAAAGGAACAAATCCATGTGATTCTGGAGATCTCCTCTGCTGCTGTATCAGACTCTGCTGTGTACATCTGTGCTCTGCAGCCCACAGTGACAGTGGCATTTATGATTACTTCAGATCTTTTAGCAACAACTTTAAAAAACCTATAAAACACTGGATGGTATTTTATTGATTTTCTTTCAAAACACTTGTAATTTATATCTTTAACGATATACAGTGTTTAAAGTAAGACAAAATGAGTTAATATTGTGCTTAATGTTTGCAGATGTGACAGCTGTGGACAAAATTGAGCCAAATAAAGGGACGAGCATCATCAAAACAGAAGGAGAGTCTGTAACGCTGAGCTGCTCATATGATTCAGACAGTGAAAATGTACGTCTGTACTGGTACAGACAATATCCTAATGGAGAACCTCAATATTTATTACGTGAAGGAGCACGAACAAACAGTGTTAAGCACAGCTCTGATCCTCGATTCCAGTCAAGCACTTCTCGCATGTTGACTGAACTCATTATTAGCAGTGTGACTGTGTCAGATTCAGCTCTCTATTACTGCGCTTTAAGAGTTGAAGCCCAGTGATACAAAACATGAAACAAGTCGTACAAAAACTACAAGCCATTTTCACTTTGAAGCTCTTATTATGAGTTGTTATTTTGTAACGCTGAGCTGCTCATATGATTCAGACAGTGAAAATGTACGTCTGTACTGGTACAGACAATATCCTAATGGAGAACCTCAATATTTATTACGTGAAGGAGCACGAACAAACAGTGTTAAGCACAGCTCTGATCCTCGATTCCAGTCAAGCACTTCTCGCATGTTGACTGAACTCATTATTAGCAGTGTGACTGTGTCAGATTCAGCTCTCTATTACTGCGCTTTAAGAGTTGAAGCCCAGTGATACAAAACATGAAACAAGTCGTACAAAAACTACAAGCCATTTTCACTTTGAAGCTCTTATTATGATTCTGGAGATCTCCTCTGCTGCTGTATCAGACTCTGCTGTGTACATCTGTGCTCTGCAGCCCACAGTGACAGGAAACACAAGAACACTGTACAAAATCTTTTCCTTATTGAATCCAATTAGAACAAGCAAGAGATACAGAGACAAAGATTAAAGGAGAACCTGTAAACTGCAGATGTAAGTAATAAGTTGAACAACACGTGAATGAAAAGAAATAAACGAATAAAAAGCTAATGAATCCAAATCTACATACATAAAATAGCAGATAAAAAGATGACATATTTAAAATCAATGTGAGATCAAAAATCGAAGCATCATCCTAATATTGTTAATTACATTGTAACGAATCAGCTCATGGGAAATATGAATAATTAATCATAACTAGTTATAATTAATTATGAATATTTTAGATCCGCTGTAGATATTTACTTGACCTCTCAGGGTCAACTGTCTTGTCAATTCTAAGAACGTTAATTTCCTGGTTAAGGGAAATAACTTTCTTACTGTACAACTTAAAATATACTGAGGTCACGGCTCGCTGGACGACCCTTGATTTAAAGTGTAAAATAACAAATTTGGAATCGGTTTAATCAGGTGGACTTCGCATCTTCAGATCCTAGTCCTCTCAAAACCTGAATGAAATAATAATAATTAATTCTCTTACAAATTAAATTTAAGTAATCAAAGTTATTACAAGGGGAACGTCTCAGGTTACTTATGTAACCATGGTTCCCTGAGTAGGGAACGAGACACTGCGTCCTCTAAGTTTCTTGCCATGCTGCGGACGCAAGCTTCAGACGAAGAAGTGAATGATGTGTGCTCCCGGCGCCTATTTATACTATAGTCGCACCGGTAGTTATAACTGCATTTTCAATTGTTTTACATTTAATATTCATGTTGTTATGTTTTACAAATAAACCTTTACAAAGTGCAGATCAGAGGATATGGTTGATCAACCAGACAAACATGTGATTGAAGTTGAAAGAAGATCCACAATATATGACACAGATTCAATATGAGTTTTTTTCTGGTAGTTTTGAACAATCATATAAAAATGGTGGGAAAAGATTTATCACACATAATCAAATAATATACAAAATACATTACACCATATGGATGAAAGTGAACAGCAGCAGGAAGTTCAGAGAGGATGAAGTTCCTGTGTGTGTTTATGACTGATCTGCAGTGACTTACAGCTCAGAGCACTGAGAGCCTCAACAGAGAACTGAGCTGATCTGATTGAACATGGACAGATGCTTCATACTGATTCTCATTGTGGGAACAGGTAATTTTTTTTTTAGATAATTACAATAGTATTTTGTCAACCTTGCTTTCATGATTCAAAAATTAGTTTATTTGTGCTTATTGTTCACAGGTTTGGTGACTGGAGACAGCATTGAGCCAGATAAAGGGACAGAAAAAAACTCTAAAGAAACAGAAACTGTCAAGCTGAGCTGCTCATGTAGTACAAGTAGTGATTATACTTATCTTTACTGGTTCAGACAGTATCCTAATGGAGAACCACAATATCTATTAAACAAAAACGTACGGTCCGCGAGTGATGCACACACTTCTGATCCTCGATTTCAGTCGATTGCATCACGTACATCCACTGAACTCACTATTACTGATGTACGTCTGTCAGATTCAGCTCTCTATTATTGTGCTCTAAGAGTAGCAGCCCAGTGATACAAAACATGAAGAATGTCATACAAAAACCTGAAGCTCTTTTCACTTTGAACTTATCTAGTGAAAACCACAATCACAACCACAATCTATCCAGACCTGAATGTAATAAAAAAACATGGTAACACCTGCATTGAGGCCTGTTATAAAACTTCAGATAAACATTAAGTTCAGATATCATGAGAATTAAAGCACCTTAATTAATTATAATGTGGAATTAATATGGAAAACAGTACTAACACAGCCAGAAAATTAATTTTGAGTTTATGGGCACAAAAGGTTTGTCTACCCTTGTCCACCACAACAAAGGTACACTCTTAAAAATAAAGGTGCTTCAAAAGGTTCTTCAAGCGATGCCATAGAAGAACCATTTTTGGTTCCACAAAGAACCATTCAGTCAAAGGTTCTTTAAAGAACCATCTCTTTCTTACTTTTTTATAATCTGAAGAACCTTCTTTTGCCACAAAGAACCTTTTGTCAAACAGAAATGTTCTTCCGATGTTAAAGGTTCATTATGGAACCATTTAGACAAAAAGGTTCTTCTATGGCATCGTGAAGCACCTTTATTTTTAAGAGTGTAGAAATAAACTATGAACCAAGTCAGAGGGAGGAGTCAAAGAAACCTCATCAAGCAAACTCAGTAGCTCAAGTGATCTTGCACGTTATCAGTGGTCAGGGCCAGCAAAGCCTTCTCTGCTGGCCTAAACACTATCAGAATCACTGATTTAGTTTAATATATTTTTCCATGAATGTGTATTAAATTATTTCCAATAGTCTATTCTCTTCATTTCATAGCTTTTCTCTTAGTTGCACTGCTTCCAGCACTGTATGTTTATATTAGAGGTTTTATCCAATCATATTTCAGCAATCGTGTTGCCAGGGTCAAAGAAATCTGCCTTAAGGCCTTCAGAATCAACAGCGCAGGCGTCTGTTAGCTTAAATCAATAGCAATGAAACTGTTGCTTTAACCAATCAGATTTCGAGTTGGCAGCACCAGTTCCCTCGAGGAACCATGGTTACATACATAACCTGAGACGTTTCTGTTTCATACAGATGTTTTACGTAGCATAATTTTACAAAGCTAAAGTCAGGTTATTCTGTTTTTGCTTCAGATTTTGAAATTATACAGTTTAATATAAATCAAACATTGCACTTTTTTTCAATTCATGGTTAAAATGCAGTGGTCGCCTCTAATTTCAAATGGCTATGAAAAATCAAGGTGCAACACAGAGTGAAGAATATGCAAATGTTATTTTATATGTGATTTTTCAATTTCTGTACCTGAACATCTACAAACATAATAACATAAAGCATCATTTTATTACTATTTTTGTGTTATAGGCCTATATTTAATTGTGCTATTACTTGTAATTTGTTCATTTGTTCTTATTTACTGGCTGTCACTTGTCTTTAATAATGTTTAAACTTTTTATTTATGTTTATTTTGGCTAGTGATTTTTGCTGTGATATCGAAATTGAAATAGAGAATTGTCAAATTTAATTGGCATCTAAAATATTGGTGTCATATAAGCTTATTTATTAGAATACAAGATAACCGATCAAAAACAATGATAACAGAAACTATTTTATTTTTTTGTGGCAGGGCCAGTAAAGTTGTAAAGTTGTCTTTACTGATATACAACATTTAACTTAAGACAAATGTTTGCAGATGTGACAGCTGTGGACAAAATTGAGCCAAATAAAGGGACGAGAATCATCAAAACAGAAGGAGAGTCAGTAACGCTGAGCTGCTCATATGATTCAAACAGTGAAAATGTACGTCTGTACTGGTACAGACAATATCCTAATGGAGAACCTCAATATTTATTACGTGAAGGAGCACGAACAAACAGTGCTAAGCACAGCTCTGATCCTCGATTCCAGTCCAAGCACTTCTCGCATGTTGACTGAACTCATTATCAGCAGTGTGACTGTGTCAGATTCAGCTCTCTATTACTGCGCTTTAAGAGTTGAAGTCCAGTGATACAAAACATGAAACAAGTCGTACAAAAACTACAAGCCATTTTCACTTTGAAGCTCTTATTATGAAAATCAAATCAAAACCTGTGAGATAATAACTGCAAACATGTACGTGAGGTTGAGGGAGGAATTTTTTTATAAAAGAAATAAAGCGGCAAAAAGATATTTTCAGAAAGTTAAAAATACTCAAAAGTGTTTGATACACTACAACATTGTAACAAATTTATATTGTGCAAATTATACTGAAAATTTAAATGTATATACAGTATTTAAAATTATGTAACAGAAAACATAACCCTGTAAATAAAAATTACATATTCTTTAGGTTTTCATTACTTAATATTCCCATGCTCATAATAAATATGAGGTAACTGGCAAAGTGAAAAACATAGGCATCAAATATTTAAGCCATTATAGCCTTAAAAGCCTTGGGGGTAAAGGCCAGTGTAAGGTGTGCAGTATATTTCATTGGCCGATAGTTGGCTTTATACTGGCACTTATTGAGTTGAATTTTTTTTGCTCTTTGTAGAAATACTACATGGCCAATGCACCATCATCATCAGCACTGTTTTGTGCACAGTGTGGAATCTAAACTCCATCAAAATGGTTTAAATAACATGCTCCTCATGGTGCTTTTGATGTAAACACTCATGCAAATCTTTATATGTACTACATTATCTAATTCTCTAATAAAGTAGTGTAGTTATCTAGCACAGTTAAATGACAATCATGAACCTCAGCAGGAAGTTCAGAGAGGAGGAAGTTCCCATATGTGTTTGTTACTGATCTGCAGTGACTTACAGCTCAGAGCACTGAGAGCCTCAACAGAGAACTGAGCTGATCTGATTGAACATGGACAGATGCTACATACTGATTCTCATTGTGGGAACAGGTACATTATTTATTAATTAATGAAATTCTGTACATAAATATTTATGTTTTCAAGTCTCAAACCACAAAGGCTATTAAAATTGCTTTAGTCATTTGTATTTTTGTAAAACATGACCAGAAATGTGTTTGAAATATTATTTTATCAACTTTGCTTTCACCAAATCAAAAATCAGCTCATATGTTCTTATTGTTGACAGGTTTGGTGGCTGGAGATGACATTGAGCCAGATAAAGGGACAGAAAAAACCTCTAAAGAAACAGAAACTGTCAAGCTGAGCTGCTCATGTAGTACAAGTAGTGAATATGTTCGGCTTTACTGGTACAGACAGTATCACAACAGAGAACCGCAGTTCTTATTATACAAAAAGGAAAGGTCAGATTATGAATACACCTCTGATGATCGGTTTCATTCAGCTGCATCACGTACATCCACTGCACTCACTATTACTGATGTACGTCTGTCAGATTCAGCTCTCTATTATTGTGCTCTAAGAGTTGGAGCCCAGTGATACAAATTATGAAACATGCCGTACAAAAACCTGAAGCTCTTTTCACTTTGAACCTATCTAGTGAAAACCACAATCTATAATAAAATATGTGGTCACACCTGTGAGGTTGAATCAGGCCTGTTAAAAAAATTCCAAGAGCTTCTTTTGAGCTTCTTGTTACATCTCAAATCAAGTCCTCGAAATAGAATGATATATAGAGACAAAGACTAAGAGAGCAACTGTAAACTGTATAGCTGTGATTAATATTTATAGTAGATTTAATAGGTAAATAATCTGATAAAAAGCTTCCGAATCCAAGTCTACATGTGCAAAACTACAAATTAAAAGTAATTTAAATAAATATGAAATTCAAAGTTATTTGTTAATTATAATTGTTAATTACATCAAATACATACAAAAGTAGTCCATAGTTTAAGTTCACATTTTTTTTTAGTTTAAATTCTAATGCATTATCATGTGTAACACATTATGCTGGTATAATGTGCCACAAGGTGGCAGTGTTCTCAGACATTCACTAGGAACTACAGCAATGAACAACAGAATTGAACTTACCTAACAGAACTTATAGGTAATGTGGCTCCGAGAGGAGGGACTCAGTGTTCATGGATTTTACATGATCTAATTATGTCTGACAGAGACTTTGGTAGAAACTATTCAGTCTGACTCTTCTCAGGAGTGAACAATGGATCTTCATTCAGTTATTCTGTTCTGTGCCTTAGCAGGTGTGTATTTATTTGGTTAATTATTATTATTATTTTTTTTTTAAGTTTTCTTTAAATCTATAAAAAGTTACAAATGTACTTATACAAATGTTTTCTTTTTCAGCTGTTGTCTTTGGAAATGTCATCAAACCAAACAAAACTGATGTTGTTTATGAAGAGGGTTCAGATATTACATTGTCCTGTAGTCAATCACCTGTAGCTTCAGATTATCTCCACTGGTACCGTCAGTATGAAAGATCAAAACCTGAATTTCTTGTACTCACCTTTGCCAGTGCAAAAGAAGCTGCGGTGTCTGAGGTAGATCCAAGATTCTCTGTTAAAGTTGAAAAAAGGGAACAAAACCATCTGGAGATCTCCTCTGCTGCTGTATCAGACTCTGCTCTGTACTACTGTGCTCTGCAGCCCACAGTGACAGGAAACACACCAGCTCTCTACAAAAACCTGTTACAATGAGAGACAGGAGAAAAAAGACAGCAAGAAATAATGCAAATGAACGTTAAATTATCTCAAATGATTCTCATGTGTAATACAGTATATAGTGCATACTGTACATTCACATGGAGTTCCTGCTTGTTCCAAATTCTGATTACATTTTAAACAAATAAAATAGCTAGACTATAAATACTAAATATTCTTCATATTTTCATCAGTCAAAAATGAAAATGATAAATGCGAAGACATCAAGTATTTAGGCCATGCCTTTATAAAGCAGGAAGTTCTTGTGTGTGTTTGTGACTGATCTGCAGTGACTTACAGCTCAGAGCACTGACAGCCTCAACAGAGAACTGAGCTGATCTGATTGAACATGGACAGATGCTACATACTGATTCTCATTGGGGGAACAGGTACATTATTTGTGGAAGTGGAAACAAATTAAAGTGTATTTAAGTGATGTTTACATGATGTTTTAAAACTTCAAACTCTAAATGTTTTATTTATTTATTTCGTAAAAATGCTGTGAAAAGTTTTTGAGATATTATTTTGTCAACCTTTCACATTTCAAATTTGTTCATATGTGTTTATTGTTAACAGGTTTGGTGGCTGGAGACAACATTGACATTGACAGAAATAATCACTAAAGAAAGGGAAATTGTCAAGTTGAGCTGCTCATATAGTACAAGTAGCAATTACGTTTGGTTTTTCTGGTATGGACAGTATCTGAAGAGAGAACCCCAGTATTTATTACAAAAAGGTGACTTGACTTAAACTTGAGATGCCACATATGCAATATACTTGCAGCGAACCAGAAGAGGGCAGTAGGTGCTCAATATTACATTTAATAATAAGGCAGCTTTCATTGGTCTCCACAAGCTCCTCCTTGGATTATTATTATAATAACAAAAGCAAAACTGTCATATTCACTGATTTATCTGGACTTCAGCATAGACACAGTCATGTCACACAGGTTGATGAATATATTTCTCTTCGCACTATTCATTCTTGGTATGAATTTCAATTTAATACAGCTGCATATTCATGTAAGTTGTTTATATTTTGTATTGTAATGTAGATGACATATTCTTAAACCTGAAGTTGAAGGAAGATTAGTAGAATTAAAGTATAAATATAAAACAGATTCAACACAAGAAGATTTATTCTGGTACATCCAGAGAGCAAATGACTTTCCTAAATATATCCTGAAGAGAAGCAAATATGGAGGAGATAATGGCACTGAGTTCCAACAGAGATTTCACTCTAAGCTTTCAGCAGATTCAGTTCGACTAACTGTCAAGAATCTACATGTGTCTGACTCTGCTGTGTACTATTGTGCTCTGAGGCCCACAGTGAGAAAACTCAAGTCAAACCACATACAAAAACACAGAGACATAAACACACAAGATTATTTCTTCACAATAAGCATTTTTGAAATTTACAAGCTATAATAAAGTCATACTGAATGTAATAGTCAAATGAACAACAATAACAATCAATTTAATATTGTCTATCCATTCTACAAGCTGCTTATCCTCTGTAGGGTCACAGCAATGTAATATTATATTGATAATAATTTTATTTAATTGCATGATTTCAACTTAATTTTAATTATGTAAAAGCATTTTTTTGTATTTAAAGTCATACTGAAGGTAACAGTCAAATGAACTACAATAATAATCAGGCAATCAATTTTAAATTATCCACCCATCCATTCCTCAAACTGCTTATTCCCTGTAAGGTCACAGAAATTAAATATAACTGTACTGATTATAATTTAATCAATTGCATGATTTCAATGTAATTTTAATAATGTCATCGTGTTTTCTTGATTGAAAGGCTGTACATATTAGAATTGTCTTGCAAACACATGAACAATGATTATGATGCATGATGGAAACTTAAATATGTGTTTCATCTGTTTTTGTTTTAAAGAATTATTAAATTAGAATTTATTTGTAACTTAACACTGATGGACAGATAAATGTGTTTCACATGATGCATGCTACACTGTAGTGAGCCAGGCCCAAAACAAGATTATAAATGTTTCTGAATCTAATTAAAAAGGGGTTATATGATGCGATTTCAATTTTTCCTTTCTCTTTGGAGTGTTACAAGCTCTTGGTGCATAAAGAAGATCTGTAAAGTTGCAAAGACTAAAGTCTTAAATCCAAAGAGATATTCTTTATAAAAGTTAAGAGTCAGCCACGCCCTCCTAAAACGGCTCGTTCTAACACGCCCCAACATACCTACGTCGCTCTGTGGGAAGATTTGCATAACACCAGCCCGGGGTCGTCACATGTGGTGACGCTCCTTCGTCGAATCCGCCGGCCGCGCTGTTCTCAAGACCGCCGGCTGTTCCTCACTCTAGCCCGCAGTGTGTGACGCTGTGTGACGCATTGGACTGTTTCCTGAACCTGCAGACTACCCTACAATGGGTCTGTGCTCAAAGGCTGTTCTATAAAGTGGGGCAGTTCCAACTTTGCAAGGACAGTCTGGCCAGTCACAGCCTGTAAGTAAATTTTTTATATTTAAAGAATTTGCCACTGACGATTCAAACGCGAGTTTTA